CCCCTTATGGTATAGTTTTTGATTTTTCTCTTTACAATATGACAATCATAAAGTTCTTGGGTTTTTTCCTCCTCCATGTGATTAAATCATCTGCTGAATGAGTTGATGATAAATAATTTCTAAGAGTAAAACAAATGAAGCTCATTTGATGTTGACCATAAGTACAATCAATTAAAATCTTTGGTTTCTATTTTCTCCAAAGAGCAGACTAGTGGAATTTACCTTCATTCGCTATCTCTGAGAATTATCATGGCACTGTGAACAAAGGACAGGCATCACGCTCTTATTTTCACATAAAACCTGGGGGGAAAAATCTTTCTTGTGAAATTAAGCTTTCAACACACAGTGGTTTGTGCCTATGTTCTTTGGAAAGTTTTCAGAGAGGCGTCTCGATGTTTTGGTGACATTATTGAGGGAATTTACCAGGATGTCCATGTTTTGTAATACTTTGGTATGATATATTTCTTTGCTTGTTCTTTTAAGTCTTATTTTTTTCCTTTTCCCTATTTTAATGTAGTGAGCATCTTCAGTGACAAGTTAAAACTTACAAGACTTGTTGATTTTAGAAATATTACATGTTAATACGTTTCTATAAATATAAATTTCATTTGTATCAATGTATCCCTCACTTGTGGAGTGGCAGATATCATCTTGTATTACAAATTTAGCGTGTACTGAAAAGTGCTGCGAACATCTCATTTAAACCTCAGTTGAGCATAATAATAATAGTAATAGTTGCTTTTTTAAATCAATGGTGAATAATTCTTCTTATAAAAAGTTATCCTAATATTTTAGTAAATGTGAGTTGTAAATCTAGTTTAATAGAGGGCCTTTTAATGTTACTCTAATATTATGTTGTCTGATGATTTGCAATAGAAAGATTGTAGGCTATGTAAAATGTTGCAATCTTAGGATAATTGTTTTACTCAATATATGGAGCCTTTCACTGGGGATGGGTAGGCTTTATTTTTCTTTATAGGATGTTTTGTGGTGTCAGCAAGAATGAAGACTTTTGAAACATTTACTTTCCTTTACCGAGGCTCCCCTGACAACAGTGGAGTATGCCTTCATAATTAATCATAATATTGCCATTTGTGCAGTGTTTAGTAGATGTGCTTTTCAGACACGATGTATTTTTATTTTAGGTACATTGGGATATGTGTGTGTATTTTAACGCAGGTCTGCCTTTGTCCTTGTATGAACAGGGATCAGAGTGGAGTAAGGGGCAAGTGTGTGTGTGTCTCCAAGCATTTTTTTCTTCTTTCATTATCTTTTAAAAAGTGGTTCACAAACTAGAAACCCTTCTTTTTTTTTCGAAATGTACATGAGTGACTTATGCCATCAAAATTAATGGATCTATGTGCAAAACTCTAAAAATGTTTGTGGAGAATCGGTTTACAGTGCTCGTTTATTTGACCTGGCTGGTAGGATGAAGCGCAGTCTCCCAAAGTGAATTGCTTGTTTGACTCTGATAATTTGGTGCTGTTTAGTATTAGTTGCAAGGCTTTTGAAAATGCTCCTGGCTGTCGTTAACGCCTTTTGCTGAGTGTCATTTTTCATTTAGACAACTAGTAGAATTTCATGAGGAAAGGGGGATTTATCTAGCTCAAATGTTTAGAGACGAAACACTTTTCATGTGAGATTTTGCAAAGAAAGGTTTGAAATCCCAATTTTTGTGATAAAATATGAGATCAATGATCTGACCGTTGCTAACATGTAGAATTTTAAAAATATAAATAGTAAATGGAAGGTTTTTTTTTTTTTCCATTTTTATGCTGCTCCAGCTTTAATATTGTTATTCTTTTCTGTTGACCTCATTTTTGTTGTTCAACGTAAGCTCTGATAACGTATTTGGTTGAGGGCATGGCAAAATGAGAGTTTGAAATTGTACTGATTATGTCGCATCCTGGTGAAATCGGGCGCTCTTCAGAAGAATGAAATAGAAGAAATTAACATTTACCCAATAGTTTGGCAATTTTTATAGAATCAGCTCCTTTTCTTCTTTTATAACCATTTAAAAGACATGTCTTTTATGGATTTTATGCAAAACGTTGAATAGAGGCACAAAAAATGTAAATTTTCAGTTTCCAAGGACACTCAAAGCTTTTGAAGTCACCGAACTTTAGCGGCCATTTTCTCACTAATTTTTTCTATGATATCTGGTGACCCTCCACCTCCTTCAATCACAAATATCTCGACTTCTATTCAAGATAGTCTATAGTCATCAAAAGCGAGATGAATGAACAGGATTTAAGATTATACCAATGACTCGATATGCTTAAAAATTGACGAGCGCCTGATTTCACCATGCCATCACACGTTTCATTGTTGTGTTTGCGATCTGTTCTGGTCTAGAGAATAGGACAAGGCTCGTTGTTTCGTCCATATTTTAGCTCTGAATACGTCGAGCAGGGTAGCTCTTCGTTATATCTGGGGCTTTGATTGTATTACTGAAGTAGAAGGGTTTTGAGGGTGCTTTTTAAAACCACAGATTAATATGAATATTCCATTTATTGTCTTTTTTGTTTTAAACATGAAGATTTGTGAATTAACAATTTGTCAAATATTAATAAAGTCAAAAGTATATTGTGACAAGAGTTCTTTTGTTGTTATTGATCCAGCAAAAAACTGACGTACCTATTATTTATTTTTTCTCTTTTATTAATTTCAAACAAAAGTTACACACTTTTCTCTCTGTTATTGTTGTTTTGTGTCTTGCGGCGGTGTCCCTGCATGGTTTTGTGTTAGTTGGGTTGTGCCCTTTCACTTCGTAGGAGAAAGCTGGTATGATGATGACATTTCTCTTGGTGCATGCAGTATAAAAAAACCAACCGAAAACAAGATTACTTTTTGACAAAGTAAAGACTTTTGAAACATTTTGAAGCTTCCTTTTTATAAGTGGGTAGGGGTTGTTTTTTTGTTTTTTTAAAGTAAATTTCCACTAAGTCTTGAACTTCGTTTCCTCATAGAAAATGGATGTAGCCTTTATATGCCTATGATCAAGACTATGTATTTGGGGGTTCCGCTTTCAAAGCATCTCTCTAACAACACTGTTTTTCAACATCAATTCAAATTCAGAAACATACATATTGAACAAAAGTGGGCTAAGAATCTCTCTTTTTCTTTTTTTAACATTATGCGATAACTGAAAAGAGTTGGCCCTTCGGGCCACCATCCAGGCGAAAAAATGTATTCCTATCCAAAACTGAGCATGCAGAAGAGTTAATGCTCAGATGCTACTAGATCGCTAACAACAACAACAACAACCCAAAAATGAAATCACTCTAGTCAGTATTTGAGAGTACCTTTGAAAACAGCAAATGGCAGCCGGTCAGGAAAGGGATGATTGATTTACTTTCTTTGACAATACGACAACGTAAAACCAACAGCATTTTGAAAAGAAAATCTTAGTCCTTAGTCCAAGCATGGATACACAGAAAAAAAATGTGAAATCACTCTTTCTTATCAGAAGCTTATGAAATGTGGCTTTGTGGTAATGTGTCTGGGTGCTCTGTTAGCTCAGTTGGTATCATACTGGATTACAGAGTGGATGACCCAGGTTCAAATCCAAGACGGGGCCTTTCATAATTAACTCAAGTCATTTTGTGGAGTTTTCAAAGCTCTCAACTCTTCTGGCTCAGTCCTATTGGAGACAGTCGTTAAATGCGGAGGTCCCACCTCTTAAATGATTTAATAATATTGATAGAGGCGTTAAAGCCATACACTTACTTTTAGGTCGTCTTTAACAACCTTTAGGACTAGTTCCTCCAGTGTCCTGACAGGGTGAAAAAAATTCAAGCATCATATCAACGGCTAGGTGCAAGACTCCAGAAAAACGACAAATCGAAAGATGGCATTTGTTGGAGTTTTGCATCTATTCATAGATATAGAGAGTTAAATTAGGGCTCCGCTGTCATTGAGGTAATTTGAAATGCACAGGCTCTATGACTTTGAATTGAGATAGATGGCCATCAATATAATTATGTGCTGATTTAATACAACGGACCCTCCAGTGGTCACTGGTATCTGTGCTGTGATATAATAGTAATAGTCAAATTTTGTTGCTGCACACAAAAGACCTAACGTCACCATAGAACTATTTTGTCCAAAGTACACTCTATAGATGAGTAAGCTTTGGACAAAATAGTTCTAAGGTGACGATAATTTAACCAATTCCCACGTGAGGAAGTTAATGTAGTCAAGTACAGTTGGGTACATAATATGAACATGGCAAGATCAAAATCACAGATAGCTTGTATAATTTGTTGTTTCCAGACTAATATCTGTAATTCTCTTCTCCATTCAGACCAGGTTGACCCTAACAGGCAGCACTGAAGCAGGCCGTCTACTAAACTGTGTCAAAAGGGGTTAAAAAAAATTAGAAATTACAATCACACCGGTGATCACCCTGTTCCTGATTTACCGGACTCTCATCTTCTTCACCTCAGTCTGATGTTATCTATACTACATGCGGGTTTGGGGGTTCGAGCCACGGGCCTGACGTTGTGTCCTTGGGAAAGGCACTTTACACGAATTTTCCTCACTTCTCCCAGGAGGGCCATAGAAAGTGAAAGATCTTGTCAGTATGTTTATTTTTAGCTCCTATAAATGGCTGCTTGCACTGTATGCTTCCCAGGAAGTTGAAGTTGTTTCAAAATGCTCTCAGGTCTGCTGGGGTAATAGTATAGATTATGAAGCGCATAGAGCTTGCTGTTGAGCGGGGATTTGCGCTATACAAAAGCTATCTAGTATTAAATAGAAATGGTCTCATTATCATCTTCCTGGCATTGTCATATCCTTAAAGTATTTGAGTTAACATGACAACTCCGCTGAAAATTGTATGTCAAAGACATAAACTGATTTGTTTTGGACGCAAATCCTCAAATGTCGCCTGCATTCTAGAGGAAAAGAATGTTAAAAAGTACACACAATAATTGAACAATGACCTGTGCAGCTTTGGCAAGGTTCAGATTGAAACTTTTATTCTGATACATTTGCTGTTAATGTAAAATCAGTCTTCAAGAACGTTGTTTTTTTTTAAAGTAACAAACCTGTTGGCGATACACAAAGTGTTATAAATTTCCTTTTCAAATCAATCTGGAATATAAGTTTAAAGAAATCTTTTAATGGAAGGGAATTAAAAATTTTTTTAAAAACTTTTAAGTTAAATTTTAACACTGTCTTCTTTTAGGACAATTCTGTATTCCCAATTGTTGATCTCTATACTATAAGGACAGCAAGGTCCTGCCTTGGAACTGGAACTTTGAAAGTTCTCGAGCAAATTTATGTTTCTCATTTAATAATATGCTTTCAAAATACTAAAACACAGCTTTAAAATGCACAATGCTGGGGTGAAAAAGTATCAGATTTTCAAACAAAAATGATTTTCTCGATTCAGCCACACTTTACTTCAAGCATACAATGAAAAAAGAAATATTTTTTCTACAGACTGTAATACTTTTAAGTTGAATATACAAAGAAACACATTCTTAGGATAAGTTCTAAACAGTTACACTTACACACAACTCTTTTATAACACAGGCTTAAAGCAGGGATCACATAAAGGTCACACTGGGATTACAGCAACAGATCTGGCACTGGGCAAAACAACACATAAATTACAAAGAGCTCTGCTGACATTAAGCTTAATTAAGACATTGCATTAGTGCATCAAAGGCATATGCGGAAAAGGCAAAACATTAAAAAATCTGATTTGGCAACAGCTATATATATAATATAGCAAAAAAACCTGAAAAGATAAAAATAGGAATGTAAGAATTATTTGTCCACCAACAATGATGGTGGTAGCATACATTTAATCAATAGACATGACACCAGCACAACAAAATTTGCATAGGAACCAAAGGTACAACACAGACATTCCCCTACGAGGCATACCATTAGGGAAAATCTCACAGTCTGTAAACCCTTTGTTTTTTCAAAGGACTCACAAGCTCTTAGGCTTCCTCTAATGGCATATATATGAGAGACAAAAGAAGTCTAATACGTATGTGTGTAAATAACCATACGTTCTACATGGCATTTCTGAGACAGGTATGCCTTCTTTATACGAACGGCCAAAAAACGGACCTTGAATCAGGGTGGTAATGTTATCACAGAACTGCCAGGTCTCCCTTTAAAGGTAGACAATGACCTACATGGCACTCCCAGTAAAATACCCTGCTAAGGCTATTGATGAAAAATAACATGACATTCTGGAAACGTATTGAGTATGGCAGGATTTAAATTTGCTTGGAAAATTGCATTTCACAGCAAGAAAACCATCTAGATAGTACATAAACTTCAAAGTCCTAAATAGGAGAGAATAAGAAAAGATTATAATATGCAAGTTACATAAGTTATCTTTTTAAAAAATAGTTTTGAGTTTACCAATACTGAAAATCGTGATTTTGGCAAAACAATTAACAAATCTTTATCTCTTCTTTTTTTTGTATATAGAATCATCCACCAAAAGTGTTCTTTCCCTAGGTGATCTTTTGGAATAGTGAGACACCGGGAATAACACTTCAGTCTCAAAAACTGCACTTACCTTTATAACCAAGTTCTGTTGTGATATAATACATCCTCTTTGAAACTTAGAATGAGCTCAAGACTTCGATAGATAAAGGCAAAATACTGATGGGTAAAACAAAGCAATTCATATGTTGTCTCATTCTCAACAGTTTCATTGTCAATGAACTTGGGTGTATAAATATTGTATGCAAATTTATTTCAGATCTTATTTTGCTCTTTTTTTCAGTTGCAGTAATCAAATACTTATAATTTTACCTTTGTAAAAATGAGTAACCTTTATCCAATTTCAAGAAAACAAAAAATTCACATAATTCTTGTCCCTTTAAAAAAAATTTGGCACAATCAGTGTGATAGTTTTCAAACAGGCGATAGTGTGGTCACTCTATGACCATGAGCATGATGCATCAACCCTAGTTGAAAAAAAGGACAATGCACTGTAGTTGTCACCAGCAGTGTTTGGTTATTTTATGTGATTGTATTTTGTGTGGAGTTGTGATAGATTGTGAGTTATGAACCTTAAAGTATTATATATATATATATATATACCATTAGAAGCTACATTTTCTCTAGTAAAGTGAACAGGCTCCTATTCAATATTTTTCATATTTTTATCATTTTTAAAAGAAAAGGATACAGAAAATAAAAGAGAATAATACTGATAGTAAAATGTTTCTTCAAGTGTTACCCTCTCAACGTGCTATACAAATATATACCCGAGTCATGCATTCATATTTCACACACAGTACTATAGTTGTGTTAACATCCTAGAGAGAGCCCCACCCCCGATAGGAATATGATCCCTGTATTTCATGTTTTACAGTTTTTGATTTTTCTGCGGGGCACACTTTTGAATAGTCCTTGATGGCAATTAAAGTGTGTCCCAAATGTGTGACGCAGTTTTCCTTCTTTTTGAATATTTCTGCATGAAAGTGCTATTGCCAAATTGTCACCACAAGAATTTTAGCTTTTCAGATTAAATGGAAGAACATACTTTTATCTTATCAGGCAGACGACAGATACGAAACTGCAAAAAATCTGTTTACTGACCTCATTGAAATCTCCAACAGTATCATTTTGCAAATAAATTAGATCTTTTTGGTTAAAAACATCAATATATTATATCTTTCAATCACACAAATTTTTGAACTAGGTACATATAAATGTATACATTAATCATGAGCAAATATGAAGACTGTTGATGAATAAAATACTGGTTCATCAATGCAAAAGTGATTTGACACTTCTTCTTGTGGTTTATAAGACATCAAAATCTCAAACAGTAACAAATTCTTACTCTCATTGTCCCCTGTGAGACATTTCCTTTCTCTCGTTTCCACTTGTACATTTTGACACTTGGGTCTGAGCAGTTCCTTCAAAGACTGTTTTATATAATCTAAGACTATTTGCACAATACTATGGGGTGTTTTTTCCCTTTATACTGACATTGACTTTTTTTGTTTTGTTATGGAGATGGGATCTTCCAACGAAAATCACAAGTTATGGAAAAGAAAAAGTCGGTCGTGTCTTACAACAAACCAGAAACAGTAACCAACAACGCAGTGTTGCCTTTTTTAGCATTTTTTTCTGCGAAAATACTAAACGACTTGAGGCTGTGTTGAGAAACCAAAGCCTATGATTACGGAACTATGAAGTATCACTCCATTTGGGTTACCAACCTTTCTGAACTTACTATTTCTGTACACATGAAGGGAAACAATTTTCGCCGAAACATTTTTACGTAGTGAAGTGAATAGTCTTAGATCATCAAGTCTTTGGACATGAATGCCAAAAAATATGCCGTAAAGTAACGGTAGGACCATCAGGACAAGTTTAGGCATGTGCAAAGGTTAAGACAGTGTACCGCTCCAGTTGATTGGGTTGTATCTCATGATTTCGCGATCGTACTTGTCAGTCATGATTTTATGGAAGCGATTCTTCTCCCATGTATCCTCCATGAACTGTGAGAACAAAATAACAATAAAATATAAGTATCAGTACTTGTAAAAGATGTTAGCATAAAATGTACATTTTTACATACATCATCCTGTGCCAGATCTGCGACAGACATCGGCGATCATGGTTCTCCATTCATTCCTTTGCTCGGATGCTCTCAAAAAAGCTATGTTTCCCTGATCTTTCCTTGTTACCCATTTGTTTAGACCTTAAGTAGATTGTTCTGGGCCTACCCCTGCCTCATTTGCCTTCGATTTTGCCAGTGAGAGCAAAATGTTCAAGACCTTTATGTCTATTCAGGTGTCCCAAAAACTGCACTTGTAATGTTTTTAACAGTGAGCGTCCAACGTGGGCCTCATCAAGCACTACCTCACTTGATTTCTTTTCCTTCCAAGATATTCTCAGCATTCTCCTTAGAAACAACATTTCTGTTGCTTCTATTTTATTTTCACTGTCTTTGTGATTGTCCAGCATTCATAGCCATATAAATGCTTGACCATACATAGCATTTCAAAACTTTCATTTTGGTAGTCATTGAGACGTTTCTATTTTTCTGGACTGGGCTCATTCCATTGAAACTAGCCTTAGCCATTGTAATTCTCCGATTTTTTTCTGTGGAACATTTGGCATCAGATGTTATTATATACCCTAGATATTTAAACTGTTGGACTTGTTTGATCTTTTCACCTTTGCTAATGAGATTACAAAGAGTGAAGTGAATAGTCTTAGATAATCAAGTCCCTGGACATTAATACCGAACATAGGCTGTAAAGTAACGACAAGTTGTACAGGCTATGATGTCAGTAGGACCATCACGACAAGTTGTACAGGCTATGATGTCAGTAGGACCATCACGACAAGTTGTACAGGCTATGATGTCAGTAGGACCATCAGGACAAGTTGTACAGGCTATGATGTCAGTAGGACCATCAGGACAAGTTGTACAGGCTATGGTGTCAGTAGGACCATCAGGACAAGTTGTACAGGCTATGATGTCAGTAGGACCATCAGGACAAGTTGTACAGGCTATGATGTCAGTAGGACCATCAGGACAAGTTGTACAGGCTATGATGTCAGTAGGACCATCACGACAAGTTGTACAGGCTATGATGTCAGTAGGACCATCACGACAAGTTGTACAGGCTATGATGTCAGTAGGACCATCAGGACAAGTTGTACAGGCTATGATGTCAGTAGGACCATCACGACAAGTTGTACAGGCTATGATGTCAGTAGGACCATCACGACAAGTTGTACAGGCTATGATGTCAGTAGGACCATCACGACAAGTTGTACAGGCTATGATGTCAGTAGGACCATCACGACAAGTTGTACAGGCTATGATGTCAGTAGGACCATCACGACAAGTTGTACAGGCTATGATGTCAGTAGGACCATCACGACAAGTTGTACAGGCTATGATGTCAGTAGGACCATCACGACAAGTTGTACAGGCTATGATGTCAGTAGGACCATCACGACAAGTTGTACAGGCTATGATGTCAGTAGGACCATCACGACAAGTTGTACAGGCTATGATGTCAGTAGGACCATCACGACAAGTTGTACAGGCTATGATGTCAGTAGGACCATCACGACAAGTTGTACAGGCTATGATGTCAGCCTAAAATAAAAAAGTATTTAGTATTCATTAGGACAAATTGATATTACTGATCTTAACTATTATTTTAATATATTATCATAATAAAACATTAAATAGGTTCAGGACAAAATATGTTGTTGTTGTTGTTTTCAAATCCCTTTAGCTGCGAGCATTTTGCTCTTGGCAGCGCAATGCCTCCCTCAAGTAACCACATGTCCTTTTCATCTGGTCAACACCAGGAGGACAAAACATAAATATATGCATTGTCAATTATGATGCTACAATTTCATTCACAGACAAAATCAGAGAAATTATGGGAACAACACCTGTCCACCACTACATTCAAAGGCAAACAATCAAGTGGTTTGGTCTCACACGTATGGCACGTCACGCAGCTTGCCAGTAAAGCCGACTACAGAAGAGTATCAGGGTACAAGGCAAGAGGAAGACCAAGAAAGACCTGGATACAGGGTGTGAAGGATACCCTGAGAACATACAATATCCCACCTAGCCAGGCCATCAAACTTGCTAGAGACAAGGAGCTCTTTTTCCCCTTTATGCCCTTGAGGTACAAGAGAACGGATAAAGTAAAGTAAGACAAAAAGCTTGCAAGCCAGAATTATCCAAATTTTCATACCTGCCTTTACAACTCAAACTGTTAATGTTACTGGCAACAGCAAAAGAAGGACAACCTGCATCTTATAAGAGACACAGTCAGAGAATTACATTGAAGATTATTACTACCAATCAAACATATAGTTGGAATATTTTAAAGAGAACTGAAAAGATGTCTTTAAGTCTGCCTCTGAAATTATCTAAATTGTGTTGAAGAGGGCGTAAAAATATCTGCATTTTATTTTTAAAATCCAGGTCCTTGGGATTTGTAATTTCCTGCAGGTGTCCACATACAGGTACCATAGCACACTGGTTTTTGTCTCTAGCCTATTTGATTTGGAATCTTTAAAAAATGTTTCCATCAAAATCTTGTCTGGGGCACTCACCGTCTTGTTGTCATCTCTGAAGTTTTTCAGGTAATTGAATTTCTTCACAAAGTCTTTGAAGTCCTTGACCTTGCACTGTCTGTCGTACTCCACGGCCTCCTCACTCTCTCGCACTTTGTTCTTCAGATCTAACTGCTTTTTGTGATCTGAATCTGACATCTGTTGTTTGAGTACCTCTCGGAAATGGCGCCTGAAAGGATGAGAAATATCAAATTTCAGTGAGGGCATACTGTTTGTCCTTGGAAGTTATATATGTCGGAGATCCCTGTAGATTCTTTTTTTTTTCAGATGGGGTTGGAGGGGAATAAGGGGGGGGGGTGGTGGGGGGGGGACAGATCCAACACACATCGGCAGGAGGAACAAGCCCTTAAATGATACACAATTATGTTATATCAACTAAGGAGTAGCGTATTATTTCTATGTGATCTTTCCTCATGTCATTTATTTTCTCTTACCAACAGACCAAGTTTTGCTCCGTCTTCAAAATGACTTGTTGGAGCCTTACAATACTTTCTTTTACAAATTCACACAGGAAGAAACAAACAAAACAAACAACAGTTTAAATTACAGTTATCCCTGAGACATGACCATAGATTATTGTTGATCTCCAGAAGAATCAAAGAAGGAGTCATAAAAACTATAGGTTTACTGAAAAAAAGCGAGATTCAGAATCAGACTCAACTAGTGAAAACACAATTACAAAGTCTTTGGTCAAAACTCTTTACTTCCCTGGTGGCTATTATGCTTTTTTCATTCCTTTTACATGTTACAGTATTTTATCCTGACAGGGGGCTCTCTGTTAGCTCAATTCATATCATGCTAGAATATGGAGCAGACAACCCTGGTTCAAATCCTTAACTGGGATTCTTGATAAACTCAGTTTGCTTTGTGGAGTTTTCAATGCTTTCATTCAATCAATTTGACTCGGGACTGGGACTGTCGGAGATGGATATTGATCCTGGAGGTCCCGCTTCTTGAATAACCAACAGTGTTGAAATGGGCACCTATCCTAATCGATGTTCCTTGTGAAATTATCTTATCATAGAAAAACGTTAACAATTCAGAGGTCCCACCTCTTAAGTGATTTTACGAAGTGAATTGGGGCAATAAATCCGTACTATACCTTAAGATTCAAAAGGAAAGAGAAAGAGAGGAGTGCCTAAAAGTACTTGGAGGAGCTGGACTTAGCTTCAGACCTAAAGGAGCTGGAACACGGCTAGTGCTAGGCAGAGGTGGAGACTGAAGCCCAAGACATAAGTAGATGAAGAGCTCTTTTCTGGTGGCCTATACTCCTGCCACGGAGTGAGAAAGGCTTTTGCTGCTGCTGCTGCTGCTGCTGCTGCTGATGATGATGATGATGATGATGATGATGATGATGATGATGATGATGATGATGATGATGATTTTTTAAAAATATTTATGACACTATAAAAATCATCATCACATTATCATGTTTACAGAAATGATGATGATGATGATGATGATGATGATGATGATGATGATGATGATGATGATGATGATGATGATGATATAACCATCTTGTGAAATATGTGGCTTCTGTAAAGCCAGCCTGGCATTATTTACAGCCTAGCGGTTACCACTGAAAGAGGACTACACTACTTAAGTAACCTCCTTACCACAACTCACCTATACGCCTCTTTGTCTGCCGGGGGTCCATAGAAAGGCTTAGCCCAGGCGGAGTGATACCTCTCGTGCTCTCTCTGCTGCATGAACAAACGGCGCTTCTCATTGTGCCAGTGCTGGGGCGTGGTCTCCCAGCTCATGTTGATCCTCCGTTTGGGAGGGGGCGGGGCCAGGGGGTTGACACGTGACGGGAATTTGGTCTGGTTCCATGTGGAGGTGAGTTCCGGGGGCGGGTAGGGGCCGTAGCTGGCGGAGGCTGACACAGAGCGGGGCGTGCCGCAGGGGGTGATCTTTGGGAGGGTCGTCATGGTGGCGGTAGTGGCTGAAAGAGGTAGACGGAAAACACGGTAAGTTTGTATGTTTGGTTGGTTGATTGGTTGTTTATTTGTCTGCTTGTTTGTCTGCTTTTTTGTTTGCTTGTTAGTTAGTTAGTTAGTTAGTTAGTTAGTTAGTTAGTTAGTTAGTTAGTTAGTTAGTTAGTTAGTTAGTTAGTCAGGGAGTCAGTTAGTTAGTTAGTTAGTTAGTTAGTTAGTTAGTTAGTTAGTTAGTTAGTTAGTTAGTTAGTTAGTTAGTTAGTTAGTTAGTTTGTTTCTTGTTTGGTTTGTTGTTTTAGTTTTAGTATAACAGTTCTACGGCACTTACAAAACAATAAGGTCATATATGTACCGCAGATTAGAGGTGTTACAAGAGAGATTTTTGTTTTAGTAAGCGTTTTATGACACTTGCAACATAATAAGTTCATATAAGTGCCGAAGATTGGAGGTGGTACAAGACAATAACAAGCACAAACAAACAAAAAAAAGAAGGAGAGATAAGGACAATAGATGTTTTGTAAGAAAAAAAGGAGCAAACCGCACCGGAGGACCTGCCAACCACCCGCTTGTTTGTTTGTTTATTTGTTTGTTGTTTTTTTTGTTAGTTGATTGATTGGTTGGTTGGTTGGTTGGTAGGTAGGTTGGTTGGTTGGTGGAGTAATGTGAGGCACATCGGTACTATACGGTCATTTAAAGCAGGGGAAAAGAAAAACAGACAGAAACAACAGAAGAACGAAAGAAGAGAAGTAGGACTTGCCAGTGACGCCTTACAACTACCAGCATTATAAGTTTAAAGTTTACTCATCTGTCAACATATTGTGAAATGAGTTTGTTTGGTTTTTTTAACTCTAAAAAAACGAGAAAAGCGCAAGACGCACATCGCACTAAAATGGTAGTAAAATTAAATTTAAGACCCATGAAAAAAAACCTATTAAAAGCCTTAAAAACGAAACGATTCGCATCTAGAAAGTTACAAAGAAACCGTTAAAATTTTTTAAAAAATCTCTCTCTCTCTCTCTCTCTCTCTCTCTCTCACACACACACACACACACACACACACACACACACACACACACACACACAC